AAAAAAAAAAAAAAATCAAAATAATTGTGATCGTAAAATTACATAACAACCGCAACAAGACAATAAAAATGCACAATTTTTACACCAGAACTGGTGATTGACCAGGGCTGAGGATCACCGATTTAATTTTAGGCTACTATCTACATGTGGGAAAAAAAGGTTGTTTAACTGAGAATGGGCTAAAAATAGGGCCGCAAGGAACTCTTTTCCTTCGTTCAATGAAACTCGGAATCTCGTGACCAGCTTGAACTTGCTCGTATATTTTTAGTGCTCTATCCATTACTGTATCTTGGCTAAGCATCTCGGCTACTCGCCCAGGAGTAGGGTGAGTTGTGTCCATGTAATATTTATCACCAATCGACTCTAATTCTCGAATAAAGGGCGGAACAAGTCTTGGATCGTATCCAGCCGAGGCCATCAACATTAGACTAATGTAATATGCTTCGAGTTCCATCCTGCACAACAGTGACACCGATGATTGCGCTCATCAACATATATATACAACCGTGAACCCATACATTTATATTAAGCAATAAAAATGCACCATGTAAGTTCCAATGTCTCACTAAACATTGATAACGTTTTTTACTTACCTTCTGCAGGAGTAAAGCGCAAAGCCGCATAAACGCACTAAAATCGCACCAAACCAGAAGCCTGAAGTACAACGGATTAGGCCAATTAAGGCCAACAAAGTCAATAAGGGGTTCCCTCCATCAGTATGCATAGTCACTCCATGCCCAACCTAACCATGATCAAGCTCTATGTAAAGATTATCCGAAATTCGTTTAACTCTGAGTCTTGCAATTTTGTATTTTAATGCCACAAAAAAATAAAATTCATACTAACCAATTACCTCGTGCGCTAGAAGTGCAGCTAGTTCGTCGTCCCTAGGGCCGTACAGCGTCGCGGTATGAATAACAATCCGTCCGTTATCAGTATAGTATACTTTGGGTTCTCCCGACTCGACCACGGTCAAATCCCAATTCAGTCCTTCCAAATGCTCAGTATCATACTTCAAATCCCAAAGTTTTTTATTATCAAAATAATCCTCCTGGTTTTCCTTCTTTCGCGCCACAACATCATGTTCACAGCGTCCTGTCAACCAACGTACATTATTTTTTTTCTTAATTCATAAAACAATTCAGATATATGATACAACATTATCAATTTATGTAAATTATTATTATTACCTGTAACAACTTTTTCTCTATCGACATAAGTAACCGAAACTCGGCAATCCCGCTGAAGCCTGAGGCCGTCGCTTAAGCCCGGACAATCTTCACGAGCAATCGCAGAAGGTACGTGGCTTCAGGAATGTCGGCATCGAGCGTCGCGGCGGCCTCCCGGTGATTTCTTAACTCGGGTTTGTGATATTTTACGAGAATTCCTATTTTTGCAGCTATTTTTTCAGGATAAAAGACCAAGCGAAGTTTGTCGGAGATGGGGATGTGTTTCAGATTAGAGGAAGCAACTAGCATAAGGGTATAAATGTCCGATAAAAAGTACGGTGGGTTTCTACGCCACCGGTCGAGCACCAATCCCATCCCGCGCTTCCAAAACTGACCAACGCTTGCTAACACCAACGACATATATAGCTGATTTTTTATTTTTTTTTTATTTTTTTTTCAAATTTTTTAGGGTTAGCGTTTTCAGATTGTGAAACAATATATGTGTATTTATAATGGGTCACAATAAATAAATTAAAAAAAAAAAAACCAAAAGCAGTTACTAAATATAAAGAATCATATTTAATTCTCATCCTAAGTTAGGAAGGTTATCAAGAGAATCATATAATCAATTGAATTCCTTATGTCATAAGGAATTCCTCTTTATTCTATTATTATTATTATTATTATTATTATTATTATTATTATTATTATTATTATTATTATTATTATTATTTTGAAATCAATATATGCATACATACATATATATAAGAAAAACACTACAACATAAGAACACAAATAATAAATATTATATATATTTACAATGTATACATAACTAAATTCATATTATTATATTTTAATACTAACATTTTTTATATTTTTCATTTCTAGATAAGTTTCTAATAATATTTATGATGATTTACTCTTTTGCCTATTAATTGTAAATAGTCGAGTAGTTAGATAGATTGTTTGATTTTTGAATGTCGACAATTTACTTTTTTTTGTGTGTGTAATCACATATTTTTAAAGTTATTTTTTTTTCTAAAGAAAAATGATCATTTGATGAACTCTCATGTTTTTGCAAAAGTTTAACTTAAATCAAATTTTGAACGAGAAAATTTATTTTCCCATAAATTATAGATGTTGAATTTAAATTATAAGTACATGAAATCTCATTTTTTTTTTTTGTTTATTTTTTATTTTTTAAGTTTGAGGGTGACATGGATTATAAGTTTTTAATTTATATTTATAAGTACCCTCATTGTGATATAAAATGAGAGTCTATACTTAAACTACAAGGTCGTCATTTAACATTTAAAATCAAGGCCCCTTGAGTGAATTCGTCACTGCAAATAATCAATCGCGCCTATCAAGGCACGTTAAAACTCCATTCCGGAATAGTTCCAAGTTCCAATCCATGCCCTCGTTATTTTTCACACATGACCATAATCAATATATATTTCTATATTATAAAAGAGAACCGCATGCAAGACTGAGCTCTCGGTAAGCCATCAGTGGCTAATTTTCGGACAAATGTCGTCAACTCCTTGACTTGAGACTCCAAAGCTCCAATACTAGTCTCATTAACAGATTGGAAGGACGCTTCTCGAGTGCCGAATTGTTGGGAATTCGCGGCCTTGTTTGCTATCAACTCCCTTGCGGCCGTCGGTGTCTTGTCCATAAGAGTGCCTCCACTCGCCGCATCGAGCATATTTCTATCCATGAGGGACGGGCCCTCATAGAAATACTGATTAACAACTGCTCTGTCATCTGGTGCTGAGGACAACATGCAACGAGCCGCTTAAATCTCTCCCAATACTCGTATAGCGTCTCTCCATGCAATTGTTTGGCCCCACATATCTCCTTACGTAAATTCGCCACCCTTGATGCTGGAAAATACCGATGGAGAAAAGCTTTCTCCATGGCAGCCCACGTGGTGATGGATCCCGATGGTAGGTAGTATAACCAATCTTTGGCTCGGTCCTTCAATGAAAATGGGAACGCCTGAAGTTTAATCTGCTCCTCAGTCACCCCGGCGGGCTTCATTCCAGAACAGACAGTGTGGAATTCCTTCAGGTGCATGTGTGGGTCCTCGCCTGAGAGGCCATTGAATGATGGCAACAGGTGTATCAGGCCAGACTTAAGCTCGAATGTGGCGTCATTCACCGTCGGAAATGTTATGCACAATGGTTGTTGGAGGAGTTGGGGATTAACTAGTTGCCTTAACGTACGTTCTTGCTCCCCCGCCATTTCTTCTCCCTCGCTAGATGAATCAGAATGATCAGCGTTGTCAGGCTCGCTGGAGGAACTATGGTAATCGGCAATCTCTGGATAGTCATGTTCTCGGTTTTTGTGCATTTCCTTTGCCAGCCTTGCTAGCCTCCGATTTTTCTTATCCTTTCTTATGATTTCCGGGGTGTATGACAGAAGTTTCTATCCAGAAGCCCTCGTGTTCATTCACCTGAAAAAAAAACTGAAAGTATAAGTTTCGAATACAGCAAAATATGTCGTAAGAACTGAGTTTCACACCTATTCTGCCACAGAGTACGGGGTCCGACAATTCTGCCAAGCAGAGTATGGGGGGACCCTGTATTACTGGGGACAGAAAATAAAATGAAATAAAAGGGAACAGGGGGGAAATTTGAACTTATACTAAGAGAATAAAATGAAAATAATTATGAAAACTAAACCTAATTCCAATTAATGGAAAATAAATTAACAACTCAATTCTGTTACTCGACGGCAACGCGGCAAAATTAGAATTTATATTTTTCTTACAACTTCTACCAACTAGAAGTAGTAGTGAGTAAGGGTCGAACCCACAGGGAGTGCGGAATTTAATTGCAATTATTTTCTTTAATTGAAAGTACGAAAACATAAATAAAGGGGGGGATTTTTGTATGAATTAATTAACTACTAAAATTACGAATACTGGAATGAAACAAATGCAACAAGTAAAGATGATTAATCAAATAAATAGAGAAGTTTCTAGTCCACGGTTCCGTCTACACCCTTGATTGACTCGTCTAATCAATTTTTAGTATAAAATCTCGCTATCTTATGGAATTACTAGCCCTAGGTAACGACATAGTCTGTTACCCGAATTTTTCATTATTTATAATTTAACCGCGAGACGCTCTACGATTAAACCTGACTACTTGTACAGTCCAGAAAGACGCTTTCAAGATTTAATACAAAAAGCCACTTTACGGAATAGAAAAATAGGCTAGACTAAGTAGTGACGCGTTCGTTCACTTAAATAGGCCGTGTTATCCCCGGTAGTAACCGTCTTCCGGTAGCCTCTTATGAATTAAACACTTCAACAATTACAGATTAAATGTCTAATTCAGCTGTAGATATGAAAAACTTAATCTAGGTGATCAATCTAAATAAGCCTCACACATCATGGTTAATTATTCAAAATAACACAAACAATTCCAAAAAGGTATTGAGATTATCAACCAAAATCAATCAAACATAGTCAATCTTAGGGTTCGACTTCCCCAGAACTAGAATAATAAAACTACTCACTACACATATTATTCGAAAACATATTCATAGAACTAATTACACAAGAAAAGAGAAAGAAAAGATATTAAGAAATTCTTCTCTGTCGGCTCGTTCTCTTGCTGCTTTCTCCCCTTCAATCTCTTTTCCCAGCCTCTCTCCTCAATCATAGGTCACAGCCGCCAATGTGAGATAATATATTAAACCAAAGTCTCCAAAGAAAGATCATATTCTCTCAGGCCACGTCACTTTCCTTATGCTTGCCCTCCAAAAGTTACAAATCTTTTATTCTTATTTATAAGTCCACCCAGCCACTTCCGCTTTTAATAATTTCAGCCCACGTATATTGACTTTGATGCCAACTCACATGAATTGTATGGGCTTTACCACGTGTATGGGCCTGCTGGCCAGTACGGGGCGCTGGAACGAAGTACTGGGTACCCCAGTACTACATCAAACAAAAATTTGTCGAGCTCACGTCTTACATTCAACGTCGTCGTTTGCTAACAGTAATCCCAAAACTCTGAAAACACTCAAGAAACTCATCAAGGCACCACAATCGATCATAATATTAAATAAGTCGAAAATCACATAAATGCGAGTAAATAAACGTGCACTATTACAAAATTAAGCGATTAAAGGGAGCACATTTTTCGACTTATCAAAAAACTAAAAGGAACGATAATGGGATTGTTCTCTAAGTCTGGGGGGTTCGTTTCAATATATAGAGCTCGAAAAACGGCGCAAAAAGAGAAAAAACAGGCAAAAATAAAAATAGGGGTCAACGGGTTGCAACCCGCGAGTTGGCTCTGTCACTGGGGCCGCTGGGCGCTGGTAGCAAGGGGCGAGCGTGCGCGCGCGGGGAACATGTCGTGGGGCGCGAGCATCCGTCGCGGGTCGCGAGAACTACGTAGTGGCCACTGTTAAACTCGCGTGTCGCGAGTTGCCTGGTAGCGAGTTGCGCGCGCTCTTGGGCGTGGGGGTCCGGTCGCGGGTGGCGGGTCGGGCTGCACTGCACCCCTTTACGTTTTGGGCTCGTTTGGGCTCGTCCAAACTCGGATTTTGAGTTTTGTTTTTTCCTATGCGTCACTAACGAACCCCTCTATTCCATTATGCTCTCGAAATCAATTTTTCTGAAGAAAAAATGTAGCTCGAAGCTCCCGACCTACACACAAAATCGACAAAACACAAAAAAAAAAAACAAAAACAAAAACAAAAAAACAAACGAAAAACACCTAAAGACTCAAAATGAAGGAAAAACATAATAAAACACGAAACAGACTAAAAACGAAATAAACAACCTAAAACGGGGAAAAAAAGAAAAGCAAAACGAGCACTAAAAATGCAACAAAAATGGGACAAACACCTCCCTACACTTAAACTTTTGTTCGTCCCGAACAAAAAGAAAAAAAAAAGACACAAAACTAAAACCGAGCATGGACAACAGTCATTAACAAGATAAGCCTCAAAATGTTCAACTTTAACAACGAGCATCACGCAACTACATGCTCTATCACTATACTTCGACTTAGCGTTTTCTCAAGTATGGGAATATATATGCGTGCCTCAATCAAATTCTTATGCAGATAAAGATAAGTGCACTCAAATTAGTCGATAACAACTTCAATCATATGCTTGCCATTGTCTAACTTCTACTTTAAACCATTCAAAATCAAAACTAATGCATCAAAAGGTCTTTCAAGGTTGTAACGTAGGCTCTTTGGTTCGGTAAGATAAATATAGACTAAGTGGCACGAATTTCATTACATAATTCAAACACCTTACCCCTAAATCATGCACTCAGCCAGTTGCTCAAACATACTGAATCTTGAACCATTTGATTTCTTGGCATAAACATAAACAACAAGGTCTTGAAACCATGTCATTCAAACACACAAGATTCATTGGCCTAAACA